TGTGGACTCCACTTTGTAGCCCCATTTCTTAAGGTTGTCCCTGCATTTTGTGGTGTCCAAGTCACCCAGCCTTTTGTGAGCTCAGGGGGGAGTTTCTCATCTGTTATCAGTAACTGATTGAGGTTCCGAGTTTTAACCTGCCACTTTTGGACTCTTGCTTGCTGAGGTGTTCCTGCGAGCATCTCTATAGATCTTAGGAAGTTATTTCTTGATTTAAGGTGTTGGCTTGCTCGCTGATATCCGAACAGAGGAAAGGCCAGAGATGTCATTGCCTTGGTCCTTTCATTACAGGCTGCTACTTTCCGACTGATGTCAGGTGGTGCTAAACAGTGTAATTTCTCCAGTGGTGTAGGATGCAGACATTCTGTGATAATGTGGCATATTTAATTAAGAGCCACATCCACTGTTTTAACATGATGAGATGTATTCCACAGTGGGAATGCATTATATGGCTGTGTGGAAGGACCATGGGTGATTTCAGTTCATACTGCCATATAACCCAGTTCAAAGCAGATAATTTGGGATTTTATACAGCGGTGTGGATGCAGCCTAAAGGCCCTTCCACACAGCCATAGGAAAGGTAAAGCTTTCCCCCTGACATTAAGACTAGTAGCATCCAACTCTGGGGGTTTGTGCTCATCTCCATTTCTAAGCCAGTGTTATTCGTAGACATCTCCAAGGCCATGTGGCCAGCATGACTGCATGGATTACCATTATATTCTTGCCAAAGCGAGACCATGTTTTTGAACTGCTAGGCTGGCAGAAGCTGGGGCTAATAGCAGAAGCTCACCCCACTCCTAGGAGTTGAACCTGCGACTTTTTGATCAGCAAGTTCAGCAGCTCAGCAATTTAACCTGCTACGCCACCAGGGGCTCCATACAGTCATGGAACCCAGAATATCAAGGCAGAAAGCCCCACAATATCTGATTTGAACTGGCATATATTCCAGTTCAAAGCAGATATGGGATTTTATCCGGCTGTGTGGAAGGGGCCTCAGTGATATCTTTGCTTTCTGATGCTTCAATGTGCACAAACCTTTGTTTCATGCACAAAAGCCTTAAAGATATTATTTTAAAATGACCTCCAGGCTACGTGTATATGAAACATCAATGAATTTTCAGCTTGGAGTTATTGTCCCATCTCCTGGGGTACATCTACCCTGGAGAATTAATGCAGCCTGACACCACTTGAACTGCCATGCCTTAATGTTATTGGATCATGGAAGCTGTAGTTTTACAAAATCTTCACCTTTTTCTGCCAAAAAATACTGATTCCAAACCAAACTACAACCCCCATGATCCCATGGCCAGTAATTTGGTGTCAAACTGCATTACTTCTATAAGGTAGATCAGACATGGGCAAACTTTGGCCCTCCGGGTGTTTTGGACTTCAAGTCTCACAATTACTAACAGTTGGTAGGCTGCTAGGAATTGTGAGAGTTGAAGTCCAAAACACCCGGAGGGCCAAAGTTTGCCCACGCCTGGTGTTGCTGCACCCTACGATATCTCATTGTTGCTCTCTCTGAGAATTGAAGCAGCCCTTTGAGGGAGTAAGCCATCTGTTCCTGGGGCGTATGAATGTAGCTTCTACTTCACTTCTGTAAAACTGGGAGGTCTGTCTTTTCATTATGTACATACCGATGCAAATAAAAGTGTTCCAAAATCTGGAATCCCACACACTTCTGGTTCCATTTTCAGATAAGGGATATCCATCCTGTACTAACTCATCAGGCTATTTTCATTATTCTGGATTGGCAGAGTTCAATGACAAAAGGAATGGCACCACTTCACAATGCACTGGAAGAAAGAATTGTCTACACCAGGCCTAGGCAAACTCCAGCCCTCCAGGTGTTTTGAACTTCAACTCCTATAATTCCTAACAGTGTACCAGCCATGCCTGAGTTAGCAAGATCATCAGGGTCCAGCAAACGATCTTAAAAGGTTGTTCACTTGCTGGTCTCACTTACTTAGACATTATTATTTTTATTTGGAGTGGGGAAGGGCTGCACATAAGTCAGCCGTACACTTGGTTGCATTTTCAGGCATTAGTAACTGAGGTTCTTCCATCCAGTGGAAACACCATGGAGATGCAGGGGATGCAAACTGCTCCAACTGACACCAACAAAGCGTGATACCAAAACTATGCTCTATAAAGTTTTTCTCCACTATTTCAGCAGAAATCTATTAATTATGCTTTTACAGAAATATATCTGCAATTAAATATAACCACAAAAAACATTTTACTTAAGCCTAGCTTGCATGTACTGTATCTACATATACAAGGTTAAAACCCTGTCCTGATTGATTTATTATTCCCCATATTTGTATCCTGTCCTTCTCACCCCTGGAGGGGAACTCAGAGCAGCTTTACAACAGGCATTCATTCAATGCCAACAAGAGTAATAAATGATAAAAGCAATTTTTAAAAAATTGTTAATGCTTTAAAATCACTAAAACGTTGTTTAAATCACGCAGATTTAAAATCATAGTCCAGGTCAGTCCATTGTCTTTCACACAAATTGGGTCTCATTCTAAATTGCACACTCCCTTACATATAATTCTGCTCCTTTATCTCACCCTGAGTTTTTAAGTCATTTTATGTACAAAGCTCACTGTCATTATGTTTGGTTTATTTTTTTTACTTTGTTTTGTGTATATTGTTTATATTCTTATATGTTTTATATTTTATTTATTATTTATTTACTTTACTTATATACCACTGTTCTCAGCCCGGGGGCAACTCACAGCGGTGTACAACAAACAAGAACAGCAAGATTCAAAACTACAGAATAAAAACAATTCACAACCCAACACTATACACAGTTAACACCATTACTACGATAACCATTCAGCGTCATCTCATCATCCAAAACATAATCCAAATTCGTCTTCCATTGTTCCATTCCTATATTCATTACCAATCACTGCACTAATTATCCGAACGCCTGCTTGAACAGCCAGGTCTTCAATTTCTTGCGGAATATCATTAGAGGTGGTGCTAGTCTAATGTTCGTGGGAAGGGTGTTCCACAGCCGAGGGACCACCACCGAGAAGGCCCTCTATATATATATATATATATATTGTTTATTTTATTGCAATTTGTATCTTATTTTATTGTAACTTGTTTGGACTTGGCCTCATATAAGCCGCCCATTGGGGGAGATTGTGACAGGGTATAAATACAGTTTATTATTATTACTATTATTATTATTGAACCTTCTAATGTGCATGTGCTCCACTCAGAACTGTCATTATTACCCAATTCAATGACATTTCTAATCATGTGCTTTTGTTTGCATGTTGTCTGCACTGTTGCCATCATCTACCAATGACAATATTTGCTAGGCTAATGGGAGTTATAGTCCATTAGATCTGAAATTGCCTGTTTGAAGAAGGCTGCTTTCAAATGTTTCAATGTCCTCCTGTGTCTGCCATTCTTTGGGTAAGCATCTTCTTTTCAGTCTTTCATTTTTTTTCGTAGTGCTGAATAGAAGGAAGTTAGGAATTGTGGGAGTTGAAGTCCAAAACACTTGGAGGGCCGAAGTTTGCTCAGGCCTAGTCTACACTGATGTAGCAAAGTCTGTATTTCTTTTAAAAAATATTTTTATTACTTTATCATAATTATTACATTTATTATACATTTGTTTATAGCAGTTACATATTATTCAACACCCTCTTTAACATATAATCTTATTCTTCTGCATAAGCATTTTATTCCCCCCCCTTTTTTTTCCCCACCACTGTGCTCCCCTCCCCCCCATTTCAAGCCACAACTTTTACATACCATCTGTCCAAAATCTCATTTCTTCTTGTGGTGGTAACCTTCCTTCTTTATTTTTTAAACCATTTACAACAAATTTGCCCCATACAACATCAAAATCACTTTGTTTCCATATACCTTTTTAACTTTTAATATACATGTCAGCTTATCATTTATTGCCAATTTCCATGCTTCCTTGTATCACTCCTCTATTTGTATATTTATTTATTTTTTCCAGTGTAAAGTCTGTATTTCGATTCTTTGCCACCAGAATGCAAGGGAAAGCATGACTAGGCCATCTCTCCCCGCAGTGCGAAATGGTACAGCCCATTGTACGCCTCAAGTATATGGAAAAGGAATCTTCAACTCGAGGTGGGGGGGGGGGGGGGGGGGGGGGGGGGGAGAGAGAGAGAACATATGAAGGGCCTACAACCACCGCCCAACGCCTTCCCCGCCATGGCTCTCACCTTCAAGGCCTCTATGCCTGTCACGCGGGTTTTCCGGTCCTGGTCCTTGAGGATGAAAAAAGGTCTTCCATACTCGTCAAAGGCCAGCGTCCCCACGGCCGACATGATGCAAACGGAGCCGGGCTAACGGCAACGAGGAAAAGAAAAGAACCCGCGTGAGCGCCGCTACCACAACGCGGACGCCTCTCGCTTGCTCTTCTCTTCTCGCGAGAACGCCCAATGGGAAGAACGGGCGCATGCGCACCGGCCGCCTCTTTGCGGCGAAGGGCTTTCTCGAACTCTTCGCGCAACGACTCCTATTCTGGAAGTGTCCACGAGCAGTGCGAGCGACTGCGCATGCGTAGGGGGCATTTTTTTTCTAACAGAGTTTCTTTCTTGGGGCGCTTCCACACAGCCCTATATCTCAGAATATCGAGGCAGGAAATCCCACTTTACCTCAGAAAATCCAGTTCAAAGCAGATATTCAGGGATATAGGGCTGTGTGGAAGGGCCCTTATAGTGCCATAGCATCGAGCTCCTCATCGTCATGTGTCAATGACGACTTCCTATACAACTGCAGGTTTCTAATGACTCTATAGTTTCCTAGCTCTATAATTTAGTTATTCTCAGATTGTTCTTTTTTTGGGTGGGAGGGGGATATTTTCTTTTCAAATGACACAAGAGACCATTGAGAAACGCAAACCTTTAAAATCCGAACTGCTCTCAAACACAATGTTGTAAACCACTTGCCTTTGTTTTACTTTTTGGTTTTAAGTGGAAAGTATCTCTACGTTCGTTGAGATACTTAGACTTCCCCACCTCCCTGGGAATAATGGTACAGTCCACTCCAGCAGCAAGGCCAGCCTTCGCCTCACTGTTTCCGGAAGTCGCTTGCAGGCTCCCTTCGAACACGTTTAGTCAGTGGCTGGATCCACAGAAGTAAGTGTTAATGGATACTCGTGGAACTTCCTTCCCAGTTAGCTTGAACATCAAAGGCATTGGCTTGGCTTGGACCAAAGGTCGATCTACAGTGTGGAATGAATGCTATGGAATCATGGAAGCTAGCCTTTAGTCTGTAGCCTCCTTTGCTAACGAATTGTTGCCTCGCCAAACTACAAATCCCAGGATTCAGATTGAAAACGTGACTTTTCATTGAATTTATCAACTTGTAAGAAGGCTGGGGCTTGGAAGAACATTTATTGAGAACAGTGAACTCTCGGGGCCCTTCCACACAGCCATATAACTCAGAATATCAAGGTAGATAATTCACAATATCTGCTTTGAACTGGGTTATCTGAGTCCACACTACAATATATTCCAGTTCAAAGCGGTTAATGTGGGATTTTATACAGCCTTGTGGGAAGGCCTCCAGTTGCTTGAGTTCCAGTTCACTGCGACCCCTTCCACACAGCTGATTAAAATACCACATTATCTGCTTTGAACTGGAATATATGACCATTATTGCATTCATTTCATTGCAAAACAATCTCTACAATTCATATAATTACTTCTCCTTTCCCCCCATTGTGCTACCCCTTGTGGTCCCCATCTCTGGAGTTCTTTTCGTTATGCTTGAGAAGATGCGCAAACTAATTGTGCAGATGTGGATGATTGTGGAGGGAATTAATCTCAGGCCTCAATTGTGTATAAGAATATATTATAGAGGAGGCCAATTATTAGTTGTAAATCAAGGTAACTGCCACCAACGTGAGGTATTTGAGGTATCACCGATGAGATTAGGTGATATTAGACAGGTTAGATGAGATGAGACGGTTTTTAACAAAAGATAACAAGTTTATTGTGTACAAAGCGTATGGTTGCAGGCTGTTAAAATAACTTATAGAACTCTGAATGTCACTTGGTTTTAATATAGTCCACTCTTTCAAATAACAGCTCGTGGCCGACTTTTACTGAGGTGAAGCTCTTTAGTGAACAATGTTTCCCACTATAACTAGCCTTCCAATTTGATTTTTCCTTGATCAAATCTCTGATCTCTAGTCCTTCCTAGGGATCCTAACAGGCTTCCTTTAGTCTTCCTCGACTAAAGAAACTGGCCAGGTTTCTCTCTTCAGCCCTTCTAGACTGAAAAACCTCCAGCTGCTCACACACCCGTCTCTCCCAGGCTTTTTTAAGCCTCCACTCTCCCACACTCTGGTCCTTTTCCAAAGACGCCTATAACTTTTCCTGCTTGGCTCCGCCCACTTCTCACTCTCCTGAGCTAGCCTGCCTGGTCTCCTTGGCAACGCTCAATGTGGATTCAAACCAGATAACTCTAGTTTTAGCTACTGTTACAAACACAAATATACTCTAACAGTTAAACACATACATAGTATCAATGACTTCTGCACAATGSTCCCACCAGAACCTCATTTCTTCTGGTAGGGGTTGGTTCCCATCTTCTTTCCTTAATGTTTCTTCAATAAATATTTTCCATATACTTTCAAAATCATTATCCTTCCTTAGGCCTTTTTTAACCTTTAGATTAATGTTAGTTATCATTTATTGGTAATTTCGTCTGTCTTAATTTTCACCTCTCCTTTTTGCTATTTGTAGCCTTGCAGCTGTTAACAACATTGTTATCAAATTCTTTTCATTTTCCTTCCATTCATCTGTATTATAAATAGATAACAGTATAGTRGCCGGATATATATTAATTTTTTTCTTCGTAATACTTTCTATTTCTACTATAACTTTTCCCCAGAATCCCTGTACCTTACCACCACATGTAGATATATGTACCCCCTTCTTGGCAACCCCTCCAACATTTTTCTGAACAACCCTTATCCATATTGTGTAATTTTGTCGGGGTCAGGTACCATTTCCATACCATCTTGTAATAGTTTTCTTTTATCCTAATTGATAAATTCTTGAGGTTTCTTGCTCCCCATAATTTTTCCCAATTCCTTTTTTCCTATTTTTATTTCCAATCCTTCCTCCCATAGTTCCCTTGTTTGTATCCCTGGGGTTCTGACAGTAGCCTTTTGTCCAAAATATAAATATACATCTGGACAATAAAATGACGTATTTCTATTACAACAATCTTGTTTTTACTTATCTATAAAGGCAGTGCCTTTGCTGTAACTATAAAGCCCAGGCTGATTTCCTTCTGAAATTACTTGATGCATTTTATTAGCCAATGTCGTTTTGCAATACGCTATCCAGGATCTGCAGTTTTTGGATCCAATTTATGGTTATATGCTTGAAGCATATTATAAACTACTGGGATCCTCTTGATCTTCCACTTATTTCAACAGTACTTTGACTTTACAATAGGCCCTGCACATTCTCTGGGGTTACAGGTGCAAGATCCTTGCAGAAGTGGGAAAACCAATTAAAAATGCTTTTTTAAAAACCTGAGTGAACACTCTCTAGGATAACTTTTCTTCCCTTTTGTCATTCTCTTGTCCCACCTGTAGGAGGGCTCATGTTACACAGTTTCACCCTATTCTGTGGTTGATAGTACTATCATCTGGATGCCTATTTAAAAAGAAATCCAAAAACGTTTTTCTCAGATCTGTGTGTATAGAATTACAGTGTGAGGAACAGCCTGAATTATGCTGGGAATGTAGATCTATCCAAAGCTCCCTTGGTGGATGGGACAACAAGGATATTTCCCTTCCATGTGGCAATGAAGAATTTCTTTATTCTAGCCTCACAACTAGACTGATTTCCACCCCACCCTAGCATTGAACGTATGGTTGAGGGCAAATAGAGTTGCAAATTTAGCAGATCTATGTCCTTGGTATCTCCCATCACACAATAAAAATAATAAAATATGAATATAAACAATTAAAGATGAAAACAGAAAAAAATAGTGTGACAAAAACTTTCAGCAACATCCAGAAATGAATTGAACTAGTCAAAGATTCTGAACTTGTTTACCATTCCTGGGTAAATTAAAATGATGTCATTGAAAATATCACAAAGTGCATGCCAGGCAACCTTATTTGGGAAGAGAATTCCACAACTGGATTGACTCCAGAGTAAACTTCTTTTCTCCCGATAAACACCCACCATATCTCAAATGAGAGTTTCTAAGGACCCTTCCACACAGCCATATAACCCACAATATCAAGGCAGATAATCCCCAATAACTGCTTTGAACTGGGTTATCTGAGTCCACACTGCCATATAATCCACTTCAGTGTGGATTTTATACAGCTGTGTGGAAGGCGTCTGAGATTTAGGCCAGATTATGAATGTGGGAGGCTGCAACTCTTTCTGTAACCAGATCCCACACTTTATAGGGCTTTAGAGGCCAAAACCATAATCAAAACCACTTTGACCAAGGAAGGTTCCCAAATCCAATAGAAATGACAAAACATTGGTATATCATTAAATTGTTCAGTGCCTCTTAAGCTTACAATTCTGATCTGAACAAACTGAAGCATCAAAGCCATCCCAAAACCACCTGTGTTCAGTGCATTGCAGTAATTCAAGTGGAAGTTTAGCAGGGCATGGATTCTTGAAGCATGGCTATATCTGTCCAGATAAGGATGTAATTGGTCTGTCAATTTAAATTAGTGAAATATGCTTTTGAGCCACAGAAACCCAGAAGTGTCAGGCTTCAAGTGTTTCATGCTGAAACCAATAAACCTATAATCCTGTTTCAGAGCCTCGACATGAGTATGGTTGTGCCTTTTAGTTTAGAGAAGCTACAAAGGCTTTAAAGCAGAGGTGAGAAACATCTTTGGGACTGCATTGGTGTCTTCATAGCTCCTCAGGGCATGCACACTTCCAGCATCATTGCATGACTAATGAAACCATTGAAGCTGCCAGTGAAATAAGGTCCATTGTAATAGGTTTCCACTGAAAAAGACATAGCTTCAGAAGTGAGTTGTGGCAGCTCAGCAGAATGAAATAGTCACATTGTTGTGGTCATGGTGATGAGACTGCTTCTGGCAACAGCAGGAAAGCATGTAGGTCTTCGAGAAGCCATGGGGGCACATGCAGTCATCAAAGGAACTTGGCATGTCAACCAGCCAATGCCCATATACATTTACTGTTTCCCACATGGCATTCAATGACTTGGCATTCAACTCCCCTTTAATGAATTCTATTTTATTATACTTTTTAACTGTACAAAATGTCTGTGGTGGAGGAAAAACAGAAAATCTAGGATGAAATTGTTCCTGTATGAAAGCCTTCACTTGAGTGATGGCCCGTATGATGTTTGTGGAGGACATTGGCAGGGCTCTTGGACATGTTCGTGGTGCTCACTATAACCTACAATGACAATGGAAGGATAGCCATTGGTGTCTCCTGAGGGGTGGGAGCTATAGATGTTTGTGGAGGCAGGAACTTGTCTGTGTAAGTGAGCATCCCAGCCACACACTTATACATATTTTCACTTTTATTATCTGCATAGATAATAATATGGCACAATAGAATTTGCAGTGTAACAAACAGCCTAATCATGTATGGGCAGATCTGAAAGAGGTAGGACTTGAGAATAATAAAATTTCTGAATCAGCAAAAATATCTTTATTCTTAGTGATTTGCTTAATATGTTCAAAAGGAAAATATTCATCATCCCATTCTTTCTAAATTTTTTGCTTTCCATACTTTGGTCCCCCTTCTGCTGTATGTGGGATGTGATTTTATGCATGAGTATTAAGATTCTCACACACTCTGATGTTGCAACGATAATGAATGTTATTGTAAGAAGCATTCCTGAAGATAGTTCATCTTTTTTTTTATTCCAATCACATGAGACTTGAAAGGTATGCAATAACGTTGGATTATCTAGGTGAATTTTGTGGAATTTAAACGAGAAGAGTGATTATGTATAACTCAGTTCTTCTCTTAATTCATTTTTGTTAATGTGATTTGAAGTAGCCTCTTCAAGAAAAAGAATCCTAAAATGAAATTGCTATTATAAATTAGAAAGTTGAGCAAAGTCAAGCAATTTAAAGCCCCACTGGTTTTAATAGGAGCAATTTAAGCATACACTTAACATAACATATAATTAAGAAATGCATTTGGTAGCACAGGATATGGTATCAGCACATGACTTAAAAAGAGGACTAGATAAATTCCTAGATGATAGGGTTATCAATTAACCTTGATAACTAACTGAATCTTCTTTGTCAAGAAGCAGTATATCTCCGAAGATTGGTTGCTAAAAAGCAAACTAACAGATCACTTTTGCTTTCGTGCCTTGTGTGTTGTCTTCACAAAAGCATCCGCCTGGCCATAGTTAGAAACAAGATGTTGGACTTGTTTGTGTCATCCAGCAAGGTTGTTCTTCTATTGTTATATTTAGGTGATCCCTCTTTGTCCGAGTATGATGGCCTTCCAAGTGTAGTCTCTTGGTGGTGGATATGTAAGTGATTGTGGAGACCTATTGTTGAGCCGCATGTTTTTCAACAGTGAGGGCATTGGTTTCCCGGTCAGGGTTGGCTTGATGCGCCTTCTTCTTGGCACGTTTCTCCCTTTCGTCCTCCAGTCGTGCCTCTTCAAATTTCACAGCACTGCTGGGTTCAGTTGAACTCCACTTAGAGTATACAAGGGCCAGGGCTTCCCAGTTCTCAGTGTCTATGCCATAGTTTTTAAGGTTGGCTTTGAGCCCATCTTTAAATCTCTTTTCCTGTCCACCAACACTCCGTTTTCCTTTCTTGAGTTGGGAGTATAGTAACTGCTTTGGGACATGGTGATCAGGCATCACTATTGTTATGTCCCATGTTGAAATAAATGGCATATTCCGGATTGTACTCATAATAAATCTTTTCTGTTTCTAGGTGTTTTTGGCATGCCTGAAGTACTCCCAGGAGACAGCACAGCTCAACACATTTTGCCTCTTCCTATCCCCAGTGAGGGGTCTAAACAAAAAAACTGGGGCATCCTGCTCACTGGTGTTATTGGTGGGACATTAGTGGCCCTTTACTCTGTTGTCACCCCATTTATCGCTCCAGCACTGAGAAAACATTGCCTTCCATTCGTACCTGCCACTTCGAAACAGATTGAAAATGTCCTAAACACGTTAAAGGGCAGAAACGGATCCCTGGTTGACATTGGAAGTGGTGATGGACGCATTGTAAGTTTAAAGCTAAAAATACAGTATGGTCAGTCCTCCTTATCCACTCATTCTGTATCCACAGTTTCAACCATAAAAGGTTTGAAAAACTATATAGATTTAAATCCATAAGGCAATCTTGATTTTGCCATTTTATATTACAGCCAACATTTTACTATTCATTATTTACAATGGCACTTGAACACCCACAGATTTTGGCATCCATGGGGGTTCTGGAACCAATCAAAAATAGTTTAATTGTAATTTACCTTTTTTACTAAGGAGTCCCCGGTGGCGCAGTGGGTTAAACCCCTGTGCCGGCAGGACTGAAGACCGACAGGTCGCAGGTTCGAATCCGGGAAGAGGCGGATGAGCTCTCTCTATCAGCTCCAGCTCCTCATGCGGGGACATGAGAGAAGCCTCCCACAAGGATGATAAAAACATCAAATCATCCAGGCGTCTCCTGCGCAACGTCCTTGCAGACGGCCAATTCTCTCACACCAGGAGTCACTCCTGAAACGACAAAAAAAAAAAAACGCCAACCTTTTTTACTGAGAGTTTAGGAACATAACATGTTCCTAAAGGTGTGTACACTGCATTGGATGCTGTACTGGGAAAAAGGCAGGCTATAAATAAATAAAGTTCGAAGAAAACTCACTAATCTCAGGATCTCATAGGATGGCACTATGGCAGTTAGTGTAGAATCATAGTACTGCAATTATATGGTGCAAAGGGGACCTATATCTTATCTACTCATACATCTACCTGGGATCCCTTAACTGGAACAACAGGTAATTGACTGCAGTGCATGCAACCAACATACTCTCCCTCTAAGCAATATAGTATTTCTAAGGAGCAACAGAGATCCCCCAAAGTACTTTTGAATCTGCTGCTGAACTGAGCAAGGAAGCAGCTGTGACTTTTCCTAGCCATTCAAGTCACCCGTCACCCACAGTCATTTGTCCTTACTCGTTTGCTTCTTGTTACTATAGCAATTAGGACTGTGTGTGCAAGCTGTAGTCCTTAGCCAAAGACACAAGACTAGAAAAGAGAGATGTTTTGCCGTTGTATCTCTAAATTCAACTGTACAGTAGGAGAATGGGCAAAGGAAACGAGGAGCAGGGCAAAAAGCTTGCAGTATCAGGTCTGTGTAATAGTATTATCAAGTAGGTCCGACTTATTTTCTCATACAGGCTTATTTGAGGATTATATTACAGTCTGCAAATGAGAGTACTATAATTCCACTTTATGATTACAGAGAATGGTGACATTCTCTAGAACCCTTGGATTTATAGTTATTAATACATTTAGGTAGTTATGTGAGTTGGCAACATAGGGAGGGATATTTTCATTCTTTCTCCTCACTCTTCTGTGATTTCTGTGCTAGCTAAAGAGAAAAGTGCCAATTCCTCTATGCAACAAGGATTGCAGTAGAGCGGAGAGTTCTCCATCTGTTTTCTGACAGCTTGCTTGGCCTGACTGGCTGGTAGCCCAGGTGTTTCCACCCTGGCTTTCCCCACTAAAGCCAACGTGAAAATGCAAAGCATTAGACTTCCAGCAAGTTAGGATTTGTTTTGGCTTGTAGAATTTCCTAGACACTCAAAATACACCAGATCCCATCTGATTTTAGAGGCTAAGCTGGGTCAGCTCTGGTTAGCACTTGGATGGGAGATCACCAATGAGTACCAGATGCTATAGCTTATATTTCAGAGGAAGAAAATGCCAAAATCTCCTTCTAGGATTCCTTGTCTAAGAAAACACTTTGAAATCCATGGTGTTGTAATAAGTTAACAGATGAGTGTGTACCTTGAGAAGCCAGACTTGGTCACAGTGGTCCACGCTCTTGTTGCACCCCGAATAGACTACTGCAACATGCTCTACATGAGGTGCCTTTGAAGACTGTTCAGAAGCTTCAAGTGATCCAATGGGCAGCAGCCAGATTGCTCACCCGAGTAGCATGCAGGGAGCACACAACTCCCCTGTTATGTCAACTCCACTGGCTGCCCATCTGCTACCAAGCCCAATTCAAAGTGCTGGCTGTAGTCTATAAAGCCCTGAACAGTTCTGGCCCAGCTTATCTGTCTGAACACATCTCCTTTTATGAACCATCTCAGAAATTAAGATTGTTTGGGGAGGCCCTGCTCTCGGTCCCACCTCCTTTGCAGGTGCGGTTAGTGGGGATGAGGGACAGGGCCTTCTCAGTGGTGGCCCCTCAGCTATAGAACTCCTTCCCCATCAAAATCAGGTCAGCCCCCTCCCTCCTGACCTTCAGAAAGAAAGTAAAAACATGGCTCTGGGACCAAGCCTTTGACCAATAATGCAGTGCAATAAATGAAGTGGAATTATTTGCAATAACGACCAGAATAGCCTTGACTATGTCTTCAGACTGCATGATTTTAATAATGTATTTTAATGTTTAGATTGTTTTTAATTTTTTTGTTTTAATGTATATGTTTATTTTTCATTGTTTGTTGATATGGCATTGAATTGCTGCCTGTTGTAAGTCTGCTCTGAGTCCCCTTCGGGTTTTTATTTATTGTTTCAGGAGCGAACCAAAACACACACACATTTAAAAACACACAGGTTCAGGTTGCATTTTAGTAGGTGGTCAGTTGTTTGCTCTTCTCCACACTCGCATTTTGTGGATTCCACTTTGTAACCCCATTTCTTAAGGTTGGCTCTGCATCTCGTGGTGCCAGAGCGCAGTCTGTTTAGTGACTTCCAAGTCACCCAGTTTTCTGTGTGCCCAGGAAAGAGTTCTCTCATTTGGTATCAGCCATTGATTGAGGTTCTGGGTTTGAGCCTGCCACTTTTGGACTCCTGCTTGCTGAGGTGTTCCAGCGAGTGTCTCTGTAGATCTTAGAAAACGATTTCTTAATTTAAGTCATTGGCATGCTGGCTGATATCCAAACACGCCCTTAGGGTGAGAAGGGCGGGATATAAATACAGTAAGTAAATAGAAAGCAGCACTATTGCAAAGTGCAGAAAGCCAGCAGCTTGCAATACTATAAAACACTAAAATGCATGAGAATAAAGTGCTTATTATCAACAAGGTGGCAGAGTCATCAAAGCGAATTGCTAAAGCTACTTCTTGGCTAACTACAAAAACCTGTGGCTTTGCAATTAAATTAACAGTTGCTTGAACAATTGGAAAACATTTGTTTTATGGCTGCAATCCTGTGCCCATGTATTGGGTTATTAGCCCTAATAAGATGAGTATACATGCTTGTGAACTTGTTGTATGTTTGTCTTAATTTAAAATATAGAAAATAATTTTAATTAAGTGCTCTGTTCTGGTAGGGAATGTCCCAGAGAATCTTTGTTCTATTGAAAAGAGTATTGATTTGTCATTATGCAGGTAATAGCAGCTGCAAAATTGGGATTTAAAGCTGTGGGCTACGAATTAAATCCTTGGTTAGTGTGGTATTCAAGGTACCGTGCTTGGAAAGAAGGAGTTCATCAAGATGCCAAATTTTACATTTCAGACTTATGGAAGGTAAATATTTTTATTACATTTATTACATTTACAAATAGGGAATTGTGCAAATAAAAAAACCAGTCAAACAGAAAAATGGTCAAGTAGAAGCCAAAGTAACATTGACAGTGGCCTTTAATGCTTCCAGTGAATATTAAAACTCATATGGCAACTAGTGTGCAGGAACATTTTTTCTAACTAAAGGAAATTCAAGCCAGAGCCAAAGCAGCAATTCTCCCCCAGTCCTTCATGTTTTTATCTGTCTTATGGTCAAATTAAATGTAACACTATTCAGAAAATTAGTAATGGCCATTTACTCTAATCACAAAAATCAGGATTCTCCCAGGCAGTAACAAGCTACACCTAAAAACTGTCAGGTCATCAAATGCTAATCAAGGTGGCCAATTGAAACAATCACACCTAGAGTTCTTTCTCCCACCCCGGACTTTCCACAGATATATAAACCCAATTTTCCTAGTTTCCAAGAGACCTCACAACCTCTGAGGGTGCCTGCCACAGATGCAGGTGAAACGTCAGGTGAGAATGCTTCTAGAACATGGCCCGAAAAACCCACAAAAACCATAAATCAGAAATGTTACAATACTTCGTTCTCTCTACACTGTGATCCTTGTAGAACACTGGTTCTCAATCTTCGTAATGCTGCGACCCTTTAATACAGTTCATGTTGTGGCGACCCCAACCATAAAATTATTTTCGTTGCTACTTCATAACTGTAATTGTGCTACTGTTGTGAATTGTAATGTCAATATCTGATATACAGGATGTATTTTCATTACCTGATACACCCAAATTTCAATACTGGTGAGGTGGGGGGGGGGGGATTGGTTTTTGTCATTTGGGAGTTGTAGTTGCTGGGATTTATAGTTAACCTATAAATCAAAGAGCATTTTGAACTTCACCAACGATGGAATTGAACCAGACTTGGCACACAGAACTCCCATGACCAACAGGAAATACTGGAACGGTTTGTTGGACATTGACCTTGAGTTTTGGAGTTGGTCTTTGGCGATCCCTCTGACATTCCCTCATGACCCTCCCAGGAGTCCTGACGCCCAGGTTGAGAAATGCTAGACTAAGGTAACAAAAGGTTCAACCTCTGAAAAATGCTGGCCAGCATTCAGTAATCTAGCCAATTCCATATGTTTCCAAGGGCAGACAATCCCTAGAGGCATGAAATAGATGCAGCAAAACCATCACTGGAGTGATATCCAGAGTGCAGAGAGAGATCAGAGAAGGGAGTGCGGAGCAATTTGTTGGTCTGGATATTGTTGTTCCAGAACTGTGGCACTCAGTTATCTCCCAAGCTAGTTCAGGGGCAGGAAGTATAGCAATATTGATCTGGAGTATCCCTCTCTGGATCACCATCACTGTTTCTACCATGTAAAGATGAGGTGACCAATACGGATCTGATCTAGACCGAACTCACAAATCAGATCTGAAGCATGATGGTACTTCCATGCCTGCCATCTAACATTAGAATCTTGATCTAAATCTGATTTGAACCTGGGGGGGGGGGGGGGGGGGGGGGGGGGGCGCTTTGGGGTTTTTTTTTAAAACAAACAACTTCTTGTTGCCTGAAGTGCCATATTAAGGTTCCTTCTACACTGCCATGTAATCCAAATTATCAAATCAGATAATCCAGATTATCTGCTTTGAACTTGATTATTAGCGTTTACACTGCCATATAATCCTTAGGTTTACTTGGGCCCAAAGTTAAACTGTAAACTAAGGCCCCATCTACACTGCCATATAAAATCCAGATTATCTGCTTTGAACTGGATTATATGGCAGTGTAGAAGGGGCCTTAGGCTGGATCTACACTGCCATATAATCCAGATTATTAAAATCAATTTAAGACATGCAGAGCATTAAAAAAGCTACTCCTGCTGATAAATGAATCTGGGATTGTTTTTAGTCTGTGGAATTGTTCCCTGATCTCATATTAGAGAATACCTCTTTTGTTATTGTAATGACAGCCGATGCTTATATATTTTAAGTGTTGAATTAAAAGGCCTTATATTCTTTTTCCATGATGAAGAATAGATAGCGAGTTAATATTATTTCATTAGTGAATTTCCTGGCATCTGTCTCGAAAGAAAGACCTTTAATACATCATTATTTTAAACTGATGGCTCCAAGTTGAAAAAGACAGCTTTGATCTGGAAGAAAGAGCAGGATTTTCGCAACCGTCCATTGCCATCATCAGGCAGGAAGTAGACAAAAAGAAGAGGAATGGTTTCATGTAATTTCTTTAGATAATTGCTGACCCTTATGGAATGGGAATGTAGATCTCTTCTAAGCGCAGTTTCCACACTTGTGCATATGGGGTGTATATAGTGGGAAAAGACTGAGAGTGTATTTACATTAATTGAATGCTTACTTGCCTTTTTTAAAAATAACAGGTCAGCTTTTCCCAATATACCAACATTGTTATATTTGGCGTACCTCAAATGGTAAGTTCCCATTATCTGACTACAAAATGAGTTGGAATGTTGATTTAATAAATCTCTGCAATCTTTACTAATACATAGAGTTGTTCTACCTGTCATTTACACTTACTGCATCTATTGTTTTCATTCTTGTCACCTTACCAAATTCTCGTTTTCCTCTACTATTGCTTTGTAGTCTCCCAAAGCCCCTTGTTCCATCTCAGTTTTCCACTATTCTCATTTGATTATGTAGCCTTTTTGGTATGTGTCTTTAAAAAAAAAACCAACAACATGTGGCTTCTATCCTGCTACTCACATTGTTTTGTAATTCCTGCACCCTCTCTTCTAACAGTTGAATGGTTAACATTTCGTGCAACCATTTAAATTTCCTAATTTGTATTCTAGTACTAAAAGAATCACTTGAGAGAACACCATATTCATTATGCCATCTGAAGTTGTTTTGAATTGTTTTTTCACAGATGCTGCCGTTGGAGAAGAAACTTGGGGAAGAACTCCCACTAGATGCCTGGATTATCGCCTGCCGTTTTCCTTTTCCCCACTGGAAGCCAACTCATCATTTTGGAGAGGGCATAGACACTGTGTGGGCATACGATTCACAGTCTTTCAAAATGAAAAAACAAAATGATACAGTTAACACAAATTCCAGTTAAGACTCCAAAAGCCTTGTTCCAGTGGGGTTGAATACTACATGTGGGCATTTTGAGGATTATATTGTTTATCTTATATTGTTGGGGAAAACATTTCGGAAGAAGCAATAAGATTAGTTTTGCTTTGTTTTTAACGTCAAAAATTCAAGGTATAAGGTATCTTTTTTTCCTTTCTCCTTTTCTTTTTCTTTTGATTCCCCAATCCCAAATTTCCCCTTTATACCCTTAATAAAATAAATAAATTTGAAAAAAAAGAAAAATCACTCACATAATAGTTATCTAATTGCATGATGCCATTCATATTCCATTCCAAAAAGTGCATAATTTCAACTGGAACTGAGTTGATACAGAGATTAACACTTGTTGTATCTTAAGGACAGGCAATTAAAACATAAGTACAGCAAGATGGGAAAATATTTCTGCACCTCAACAAGAACCACTTTGTGTTGAAGGCTTTCATGGCCGGAATCACTGGGTTGTTGTGAGTTTTCCAGGCTGTATAGTCATGTTCCAGAAGCAATCTTGCTGGCCACACAACCAGGAGGTGACAAGACAGGCTCCTCAGCTTGAAAATAGAGAAAAGCACTTCCTCAGAGTCAGAGATGAGCACCGTCTCTTGAAGCCAGAAATGAAAAGAGAAACCTCTGCCTTTGTTTGTGTTTGTGTGTCTCATTGTATATGATTGTAAAGGCACTGACTATTTACCTGTGCATGTAAATACTGTAATCTGCTCTGAGTCCCCTAGGGGAGAAGGGCGGAATATAAATAAAGTATATTATTATTATTATTATTATTATTATTATTATTATTTTACTGACACAAAAGCACAGTATGTCACAGCAAACAAGATCTATATGCTGGATTTCGTATCACAAAATCACAAGTCGAACACTTCCCAAGCGTCTAGGACTGTGTGATGTATTTTTGAATGATGCACGCAGACCCAAGTAAAGTAGCCTTTTGCAATTGACAGATTGTGATTTTGTCAATGTTTATTGTTTCCAAATGCTGGCTGAGATCTTTTGGCACGGCACCCAGTGTGCCGATGACCACTGGGACCACTTGTGCTGGTTTATGCCAGAGTCTTTGCAGTTCGATTTTGAGGTCTTGATAGCGGCTGAGTATTATTATTATTATTATTATTCCACTTTAGCTGCAATGACGGCATCATATGAATTGCAGGGGTTTATGGTTTTGTCAAAGGCACTATGGGAAATCTCTGGTTGAGACTTTTTAGCACCCGATATTAAACTGCAAGTCCCAGGATTTCATATTATGGCAGTTAAAGTGTGGTCATAGAACTACAATTGTGCACTGTGAAAGCCCCCATTTATTGAGAGGAATTACAATTTGGCAGCCCTGAAATAATATTGGAACAGTATTATTTGAAACCTGTGAACCAGCATGAAAGAGAGTTGGGGAAGTAATTTCCAGCTTTCCCCCCTTAGATGCCTATTTTTGAATCAATATTTTGCGTGCATGTGATGTATGCTTGTATACATAATATTGGAAGCTTGTGAGTATGGCCAGATTTACCTTTTTGATCTGCATCTAGATTATTTGTTTGTCTGTATGCCTATGTATCTCCTTTGTTAATTTCCCTCCATATACTTTTTTAGAAAATGGAGTTGCTGATGTTAGGAAGGAAAGTCCTAGCTTTTACATTACAATGTTTATTAGCAGGTGCTGTAGTGCTCCACAAATCTTTCCGAAGTAATTGCTTTTTTAATGAATAGTTTCATGGCAATACGAGGTTCAGCCTGGCAGAGCATTTAATGGCTGTACTAATATTAACGCTGACAATTACTAGTTGTGTTTGCTGGACTATATTCGTGCATCTTTATTTTTTTAAGAATAGTGAAGGACATCAGAGCAAATCGGATTGACTGAAAAGAAATTGAGCCACTATCCGCAACTACTTTTAATGAAAAGAAAACACCAGTAACTTGAAGATGTATTTTTCTCTTGTAGTTTCTGCACCTGCTCTCATTCCTCAGGGTTTTTGTACAGGCCGTGAGTCTCCGAGGAGCCCTGCATTGTTTTGTGCTCCCTAAGTGTTAGGAAATTGCAAAGCAATTCTGCTTTCCTTGTGACAGAAAATGTTGATATTGATGGGTAAACCAGGTGAGAAACACAAATATATCATGTAACATGAATCCTGATGTAGCCACAAAACAGCTCCCTCCCGTCACAGTTCTTGTTCCCAGCTTCCAATCAATTTACCAGTCAATCAATCAATCAATGGGTTTCACATTTAAATTTTGTCCTTCCCTTCCCTTTCCTCTGCTCACATTTACTGGTCTCAGACCCACCATGGTGTCAAGTGTGCCAAATATAAGAAATGAAATGAACATTGTAGCAAATAGAGTTGTGCACGGAATTAGTTTCTCTGTTTCATTCATTTGTTCATTTGTTCCTTTCGGGAGCTTGGAACAGAAAACCCGCTCCCAATACAAAAATCACAAGAAATCAAGTAGGAGCCAATAACCGTCTCCCCCTCTGCTTTCGTGACCACATGGCTCTTCTACCTCAACTGAGCTCTTCCTTCCCTGGGCCTCTGAAATGTGCAGCCAACGGCCAGCAACTATACCAGACTGGCTCCACTACATAAATAATTTAAAACAGAAATCAATAGATAATGTGCATTATTTGCCTTGATAGTCTGGATTATATGGCAGTGTAGAAGTACCATAAACCGTAAAATTTCTGAATATGGTCAGATTTATTGCATTTCAGGATATATTTAATAATTCTGAAAGACAACATTTTGAGTTTTGACATGTACTAGAAATCAGTCAACTTGGGCCCTTTCTGCAATGCCGTATAAAGTCCACATTACCTGCTTTGAACTGAATTATATGGCAGTGTAGACTAAGGAGCCCCCAGTGGTGCAGTGGGTAAAAACACTGAGCTGCTGAACTTGTTGATTGAAAGGTCGCAGGTTCAAATCCGGGGAGCAGCGTGAGCACCCGCTGTCAGCCCTAGCTTCTGCCAACCTAGCAGTTTGAAAACATGCAAATGTGAGTAGATCAATATGTACCGCTCCAGTGGGAAGGTAACGGTGCTCCTTGCAGTCATGCCGGCCACATGACCTTGGAACTGTATATGGACAATGCCGGCTCTTCAGCTTAGAAATGGAGATGAGCACCACACCCCAGAGTCGGACATGACTGGACTTAATGTCTGGGGAAAACCTTTACCTTTATTTAGACTAAGATAATCCAGTTCAAATCAGATACTGTGGATTTTCCGCTTTGATAACCTGAATTGTTTGACTGTGTAGAAGGGTGCTTGAAGGCATACCAGAACAAGACAATATTCAGAACATATAGATTTGGCACTTACAAATGTCTTGTCAGTCTCTTCTCTTTTGTCTTCTTTTTTTTTCTTTTTTTGTTATACTTTGTCAAAAGAATGTATCAATTGCCATATTAAGTGGTTCACTGCCTGCCTTGATATTTGGGTTATATGGGTGTGTGGAAGGGCCCTCTCTTAAACTGGATCTACATTTCCCTATATCCCAGGATCTGATCCCAGATTATCTGCTTGGAAGTGGATTATATGTCCCCTTCTACACTGCCATATAATCCAAATTATCAAAGCAGAAAATCCACATTATCTGCTTTGAACTGGATTATCTGCATCTACATTGCCATATAATCCAGTTCAGAGCAAATAATCTGAATTTTATATGGCAGTGTAGAAGGGGCCTATGAGTATACACTGCCAGATAATCTCAGATAGACAGATAATCGGGGATCAGTTTCTGGTATATAGGGCAGTATAAGTCAAGTCTTAGCTTCATTCAATATTCAGTACTCTGATAGTAATACTGAGCTAGGTCCTTCCACACTGGCCCTTTATTCTAGGATCTGATCCTAGATTATCTGCTTTAAACTGGATTATATGAGTCTCCACTGCCAGATAATCTGGGATAAGAAGGCAATCTGGGATCAGATCCTGGGATATAGGGCCAGTGTGGAAGGGGCCTTATAGAGGATATTTGTGACACATTTTAAAGGAGCAGCTTATTAAATATTACTATGCATAGAATAGCAGTAGCTGTTACAGTAAGTTGCAACAGGATGTCTGTGTGTGTTAAAGAAAACCTTATACTGTTGATTATTGTGTGTAGCTGCTAATGTAGGTCAACTAGTAAGTTTGGACCACATCTGGTGGAGTATAACAATATGGGTTTTTAGAATACAGTGTAGCTTTGCTCTGAGGAGTCTTTGCATTTTGCTCAACCATTTCTACTGCTCTCTCATTTGGATGAAGATGAAGAAGCCTTATTCTGTATTGCTTACAAGGACTATGTAAATGTGTTGCACTGTTTGTTTTTGTTTGCAATATTGCAAGTTTATGTTTTATCTCTGCTGATAAGAGTATAGTTTTTCTGTTCTTTTTCCTCTTGCCTGTGTGCAATGTTATTGTGTCTTCTGCATTTGACCTGACTGAAACACGCTATGCACAACAGTACATTTACATTACTTCATGCCTGGAGCCCCCAGTGGCGCAGTGGGTTAAAGCCCTGTGCCGGCAGGACTGAAGACCAACAGGTTGCAGGTTCAAATCCGGGGAGAGGCGGATGAGCTCCCTCTATCAGCTCCAGCTCCTCATGCGGGGACATGAGAGAAACCTCCCACAAGGATGATAAAAACATCAAATCATCTGGGCATCCCCTGACAAACGTCCTTGCAGATGGCCAATTCTCTCACACCAGAAGCGACTTGCAGTTTCTCAAGTAACTCCTGACACGACAAAAAAAATGCCTATATCTTAAACGGAATTACTATTTTTCTAATTTAATGTCTGTTTTTACATTTTCTTGAAGTAATGTTTGCATATTCCAATTATAGTTGTTGTCACTGATATTACTGCTAATACTGGCAAAACACATATTCATTCACTGCAAAAGGTTTTACTCCATGGTAGTTAAGAAATCTCTGAGAAGCAAATGCACTGAGTAAAGAAAGTGTTAAGATACTGCAGAGAAATGTTCCCATTTTGAAGTGCATTGGCTCTACATATTTAAACCAGATCAATATAATATTTTACAGGAAATTAAAAGCACCGGGTGGCAAATTGACTACATGGCAAGGAGTCAGAGATGGTTAACAGTTTGGAACTTTAATTTGGAAAGGCCACAAGACAATATGTTTACTTTGTTATTAATTTTAAGAGCGAAACCCTATACTTACTTTCTCTGGAGTAAGTCCCACTGTAGTTAGAGAGGCTTACTTCTGAGCAAACATGTACAGAATTGTGCTGTTAGTCTGCTTCATAAAGGTTTGGGCTAAATTAGAGAAGACAAGACCCACATGAATGCAAAGAGCCAAGAGACTCATTAGGATATGTGTTAGAAGACAAAGAACAAAATGTAGTAAAAGTTACCTTCCAAAACCATAAATTTGTTGGATCAATGACAGAGTGTTTGCTTCAGTCACTCATTTTCCTTTCCATTACCCTCTCTCCTTTCGGTGCACACTGGAGTGCTAAGAACAGAAAACAGGCCTCCCTGGATCAAATGAATGATCCAGTTAATCCAACATCTTGTATTTAACAACATTCAGCCAGATTCCTCCAGCATGGCATGAAGGAAGTCCTCTTATTGAATGACCACAGTAACTCCTTGGAACCTTGAATTGTGACTGCTTCTCTATCATAACCGTTGAGTGACTTTAGTTACCGGAAGGACTGTGGGTTGGGAAGCCTGGCATGCATAGCTATTCCACAAGGCCAAGTGAGAAACAGATGGGTTTGAAGGTAAAAACTGAGATATTTATTCTT